TAAATCTTTGTCCGTACATTCTAATAATTGACAACGTTCAAAATAATAGAACTGTGTGTTACAGGTAATGTCTTAATAAAAGTTAGGTTAATGCCTTATACACAAACAAGATTTGTAATTCCATCTTTGTTTTTTTGGATCACAAAGGTTATCAAAACAAAATTTATTGTTTCTTCTCCAATTTGTCTCACGAACCCAGATTTTCGAAAAATTGGTAAATTATTTTAGTTTTTTCATATAATGGCCGATTTTTCATCCCTTGATTATCATTGTCCAATTAACATATATTGTTTTATGATTTAATATGAACCCATATTAGCACAAACGAAACGCTGATAACTCATTGTGTGCGAGTGTATTATAGGACAAAGGATTATGATGATTTCTATTGTCAAATTAGATGATTATTTTTGTATCTATTGTGTGACCCAATGGTTAGATTGATGCATACTTTCAATCTTCATTGATGTACGAGTGTATTATAGGACAATAAAGATTATGATGACGGTGGTTATTTTCATCAATTAATGAAGAATATTGAAGAGCATTGAAGGATAATGAAGAACAATATATTGATTTTAATTATCTTAATATAAACGTTGTATTTGATTTTATTAGAAACGGATTTTAATAACATAATATGAAAATAAAATAAAAAAAGTTTTTCAAAAAATAGAAAATAATTTTCGAAAATAAAAAAAAGAATTAAAAAAGAAAAAAAAATTAAAAACTGAAGTTTGACCAAGCATAAAAATAAATAAAAAATCGACCAATCAGAATTAAGAATAGTGGTAGTCATATTAAGGATGACCATTGTAGAATCATCCTATTGTGTAAGTGATGGTGTTTGTGCTACATACAATATGGTCTTTATCTCTCTGATAATGATTCAAAAAATCTATCCATGAACTTCGAGCAGTCAATTTAATTTCTGAAAATTCTTGAACATTATCTGTACATGTAAAATCAATGACATAAAATGATGTAACTGTATCTACTGTAAGTACAATATGTATGTATACTAGTATGCTAAGACAGACTTAGCTAGCAGCAAATGTGCTACATTCATCTGTAACATTATATTCTGTAACAAGCAGAAGCTATTGTCTGTTCAGGATTGTAAACGTTTACTCCAAATATTTTCAAGTTCTGAACTCGGAATATCACATTGGTCTGAAATCAAAGCTAAAAGGCTGGATGTAAAAGTGTCATAGTCTGAAGGAGTGATGTCGAAATCAATATATCCTGCTTTGCTGATAAATACCAAGTCTCCTAGCTCCCGGAGGTTGAATCGCAGCATGATCTGTTTGGGTGGGTCAGTAACAAGGCATAGAAGAAGCCCTTTTGCTATGAACAATGCCTTTTTTAAAGACTCAAAATGATGCATTTGGAACCAAGCACAATGCATCGTATTTGGTAACATTCCCCTAATTCCATCAGCCTGCAATCAAAAACCCCCAACAAATAAGTACTGAAATACTTTTCTTGGCTTATGTAGATATAATTGGAATCGACTATTAGCTGTTTGAGTGTACCTCTTCGTACTTCCAAGTTGACTCTCCAATAGTGGCGATAAACAACCTGTCCGATATATTCATTGAAACTGGTACATGTGAATAAAAGAAAGAAAGAAACAAGTTAAGAGATCCGGCATATACTTAACTACTGAGTACATACTGAAGTAGTGATGACAAAAGATAGAAGATGAGAAACTAGCTCGGACCTATTCTAGTAGTTGACACGTATTCTTCAATCATCTCCCTGAAGTGATCACTTAGTATGACAGCCTCACAAGCGAAAGTAATGTTGGGAAATTTCTCGAAGCTACCATCCATTTCGAGTAATTCCACAGCAAACTCTCTAGGAGAAGCATTTCCTGAAATAAATCATCAAAAGTTTGACACACTTAATTTCCTTCTGTCATGAAACCAGGCTGCAAATGTAAAATATCGAACTTGCAGATAGAAAACCAAATTGTTATTTATAACAAGTACTTAACATTTGATTTCTCTAATACGAAACATGAACAAATGTCAGGAAAACCTGTACGGAAAATGATTAACCAAACTTCGTTGAGCTAATGAATTATCAATATCCGCGTTATTCTGATTTTTTTTTTCATATGTCAATCAAGTGTTCGACTTCAGGCAACTTTGTATAACTTTGATTCCATCACAAACTTCAATCGAAATTTAAGGAAAAATTGTAGGGAAACACCTTTCATAATACGCATTTGCAAATAAATGCCTTGTACAAACACTACAAACTAGGTTTTTGGTTGCATTATACCTTATAAAATGGATTTCGTCAACATTTCTGTTTGTAGGCCCGCGTCCAACGATTTACACCCAATTAAAACTCATTTTATGCACTTTGAACCTTAAACTTATTATTGTTTGTTAATTAATTTCCAAATATACCCTAATTTGAAATTGATGAGTAATTGAATTGCAAGATTAGTTTGGGGAAATTTTCTTGCAAATAAGGCGCAATCTTCTAACTCGAAACCATAAATAATTCATAAAACATTACAATGTTGTTAATTTACACCCAAATTGAGAGCCCTAATATCAAATTGAAAAGTGAAAGGTTTTGCAGTACATTACATGTAATTAAGGTTTAAACTAGGCATATTAAAACTGCAAATTATCATATTCTTCATTACTTGAGTAACGAAAAGAAAATTAAAATATGTGAACAACCTTCACAACAAATAATGTAATTTCCACTGATAATTTCTACTATATAATATATTTTAAAATCAATTTGAGAACCCTTTCTTTCTCATAATAATCCGACTTTAAACCAATGAACAATAGCATTAATATCAAACATTTCCCACCAAAAAAACATGCATTAAAATGTTACAGAAATTTTTAAAAAAATAATAAATAAAAAAGGACAATCAAATTAACAAGAAATACGTACCAAACACGAAATTGAGTTGAGAAGAGCCAAGAAAATGAAAAAGGGTGACAGTATCTTTATTAGAAGCGTCAGCAAGATTGTCGAGAATACATTTCATGTTAATCATCTTGTTGATCATAGCATATTTGAGCTCAAAGTTGACCAAACCAGAGGACTTCAACCAAAGATGTCCTACAACCTCGATTTCCGTGTTGCGAACCATGATCTCCAAACCATTCTCTTTAACTTCGATCAACCCCAAACCATTTGGATTAAAACTGGCATCGGTTAGAGATTCTAATGCCTGCTTCAGTTTACTTGCTGGGTTTACTTGGAAGCGAAAACTTGAAACTGGCGTTTCTTGGAAAGTGTCAATTTGATCATTTTCTGTAGGTTCTTGAATTGGGGTTTCGGGTTGTTTAGAAGATTGAATTGGGTTTTTGACATTGGCGGTTTCGAGATCTTCGAGAGATTGAATGATGGTGGAGAGTGAAAGCAGAGGACTTGAAGATTGAATTGGGTTTTGGAGATCATTTTTTTCTGATTTCATGGCGGGAAGAGTGAAGACAGAGGAAACAGATCAACAGAATTTCAAAGGTTTGTGATTTTAGTTGTTACTGTAACTTTAGTTAAATTATCTGGTATATTGATGATTCTGCAAAAATGGGAATTTAAAGATTTGAATTTTTTTTGAAAATTAGAAATTTTTTTTGTATTTAATTAAGGGTTTGAATTAGGATGAATAGAGATTTGTGAATAGTCTTGAGTAGTAGGATGTTGAGATAACAAATTCCCGCCATGTGTTGCTATAGATTGTGTTTAAATGACTTTCCAACTTTTGATTACTAATAGAGTTGTGTTTCGAGTTTCGACCCATTTTTAATTTTCTTTGACTTTAGGGGTTCAAGCCCAATTCACGTTAGACTTTAGAGTAAACGAAGCCCAATATGAGAATTGCGCATCCCAAACTAAAGAATACCATGGAAGAGATGAAGCCGAGCCAGAAAGACTAGTATTCAATAAGAGCCAGAAAAAAGCAAGCGGTAGCCGTCACTAGAGAGTAGAAAATAAGTTAAATGCCTAATCGCCGTCTATAATTTTTATAAAGCAGCTTGAGGTATCAAATTCAAGTACATCGAATAAATAAATCAACATCGCACTTTTACATTTTCATTAGGCCTTACAATTCTTAATTCTTTAGCATCCTAAGCTTAGCAACCTAGATTAGTTTAGCGATAGAGATAGCATTAGTACGATATTGATCATCAAATTTTGAAAGAATTTTGTCCGACTCGGATAATTCAAAACTGGTTTATAATATAAAATGAATATGTATTACATATAAAATGAACATGTGATAATAAGAATGAATATATAAAATTGAATTTTCATGCTCATTTTTATAATTGAATAGTTGTATGACAATCATATTCATTTTTTAAGTGTTCATTTTTATTACTAAATGTTCATTTTTTTATATGTTCAATCTTTATTACTAAAAAAGGTTTACGTAGCCAATTAAGGCTTTGATTGATTGATTTCATAATTTTTTTTTATTAAATGTTAATTTTATAGGGCATTGACGCGTTGTCTATCTATTCTAGCTACCAGGGTGCAGCATAGACTAATTGTCATATAATTGCTAGGCTTTGAGCAATATGATATAGGACGAATAAATTTTTTTAATTGTTTGAAATTTACCCTCATTTATAATTTGAAGTACCAGCAATATCCTCACTTAATATTTTTGGATTGTAGTGTATCATTTATTCTAGTCCAATTTTTTTTTTTTTTTTTTATATATATATATATATATTTTTTTTTTGGTTAAGACAACTAGTCAAAACTTAAATTTCTACATATAACCGGTTTTTTCACCTCATTATTCCATAATTCCATCCACCTACCTGGCAACCTCCAGTCCTCCACTTTGTTTTCCAGAATTATCTCCTTCCTTTCTTCATCCTCTTCCTTTCCAGAATACATGTACATAATTATAACTGAACAACACATCTTTCAGAAAAGTGACCAGCACATCTTTGTTATGTACTTCGTACAATATAGTGTCTAATGATCACTAAGATGGGGGCGGGTATTAAACAATTGATCACTTCAATTTCGATTTTTTTTTTTAATGCAGATGATTCGAAATACCTATTCATAGACTTCAATAAATAAAATCAACGACATAAAACAACTAAAAACTGTATCTGTACGTACAATATGCTAGTATATAATATAGTCTCTGCCTGTCTGATAATGATTCAGAATATCGACCCATGAACTTCAATCAATTTAATTTCTGTAAATTCTTGAACATTATCTGTACATGTAAAATCAATGACATAAAATGATGTAACTGTATCTACTGTAAGTACAATATGTATGCCACCAGTATGCTAAGATAGACCTAGCAGCAAATGTGCTACATTGTTCATCTGTAACATTATATTCTGTAACAAGCAGAAGCTATTTTCTGATCAGCATTATAAAAGTATATTCAAAACTGTTACGAGTGTATATATGATAGTTGTGTATCTTATGTTTTGTAATTATTATCTAGCTATTTATATAAGATACACAACTATCATATATACACTCTAACACAAACAATTTCAGGTTCTGAACTCAAAATATCACCACGAGCGAGGAAACGAAGCTAAAAGGCTAGATCTTAAAGTGTCATAGTCTGAAACAGTGGCGTTGAAAGCAAGATATCCTGCTTTGCTGATAAATGTCAAGTCTCCTAGCTCTCGGAGGTTGAATCGCAGCATGATATGTTTAGGCGGGTCAGTAACAAGGCATAGAACAAGCCCTGTTGCTAGGAACGATGCCTTCTTTAAAGACTTATGATGCGGCATTTGGAACCAACCACAATGCATCATATTTGGTGGCATTCCCCTAATTCCATCAGCCTGCAATCAAAAACCCCCAACAAATAAGTACTGAAATTCTTTTCTTGGCTTATGTAGATATAATTGGAATCGACTATTAGCTGTTTGAGTGTACCTCTTCGTACAACTCCCAACTTGACTCTCCTATACAGACTATCAAACTCTTGTCCGATATATTCATTGAAACTGGTGCATGTGGATAAAAGAAAGAAAGAAAGAAACAAGCTAAGAAATCCGGCATATACTTAACTACTGAGTACATACTGAAGTAGTGATAACAAAAGATAGAAGATGAGAAACTAGCTCGGACCTACCTCTAGTAGTTGACTTATATGCTTTAATCATCTCCCTCAAGTGATCACTTGCTATGACAGCCTCACAGGTGTAATAGATGTTGGGAAATTTCTCGAAGCTAGCATCCATTTTGAGTAATTCCACAGCAAACTCTCTAGGAGAAGCATTTCCTGATTTAAATCATCAAAAGTTTGACACACTTAATTTCCTTATGTCATGAAATCAGGCTGCAAATGTGAGATATCGAACTTGCTGATAGAAAACCAAATTTTTATTTATAACAAGTACTTAAAATCAAAGTTAACATTTGATTTCTGATACAGAACATGAACAAATGTCACGAAAACCTGTACGGAAAATGATTATTGATTGTTGAGGGGCAATCTCCTAAACTCCGTTGAGCTAATGAACTAAATACCAAAATCCTGTTTCAATAATTTTGCATTGCATGATTCTGGTTTCTTCATATATATTTCAATCAAATGTTTACATCAGGCAACCTTGTGTAAATTTGAGTCAATCACAAACTTCAATTGGAATTTAAGGAAAATTTGTTGGAAAAAACCTTTCATAATACACATTTTGCAAATAAATGCCAATGATTTCAAACCTAATCTAGTTACACCCAATCGACCCCAATTACAACGCATTTTTATGCACTTTAGAACCTTAATGTTTGTTAATTAATCCCCAAAATATTTATTAGTAATTGCAAGATTAGTTTGGGAAATTTTTCATACAGTCAGGTGAAATTTTCTAAATCTAAATTATAAATGATTCATACAACATTCCAATTTTGTTAATTTACAACCAAATTGAGAACCCTAATATCAAAGCTTGATATATTATCCCAAAATTAAAATCCTATCTTCAAATTAAAGAATAACTGAAAAGTTTTGCAGTAAATTACGTGTAACTAGGGTTTAAACTATACAAATTAAAACTACAAATAATTATATTCTTTATTACAGAGAAAAAAAAATTCTTCAGAACAACCTTCACAATCAATTTAAGAAACCCTTCTTTCTCATAATAATCAGACTTTAAATCAATGAACAATAACATTAATATCATACGTTTCCCACCAAAAAAACATGCATTAAAATGTTAAAGAAATTATAAGAAAAACAGGACAATCAAATTAACAAGAAATACTTACCAAACATGAAATTGAGTTGAGAAGAGCCAAGAAAATGAAAAAGAGTGACAGTATCATTATCAGAAGCATCAACAAGATTATCGAGAATACAATTCAAGTTAATCATCTTGTTGATCATAGCATTTTTTAGCTCAAAGTTGATCAAACCAGAGGGCTTCAACCAAAGAACTCCTACAACCTCGATTTGCGTGTTCCGAACCGTGATCGTCAAACCATTCTCTTTAACTTCGATCAACCCCAAACCATTTGGATTAAAAGTGGCATCGGTTAGAGATACTAATGCCTGCTTCAGTTTACTTGCTGGGACTTGGAAGCGAAAACTCGAAGTTGGCGTTTCTTGAATTGAGTTTTCAACATTTGCATTCATGGCGGGAAGAGTGAAGACAGAGGAAAGAGATGAAGACAGAGTTAAATTTTCTGGTTTTGGTGATCTGCAAAAATGGGTAATTAAAGAGCAGAAATATTTTGTATTAATTTGATAAAGGGTTTGAATGAGGATGTAATGAAATTACTGTGGATAGTCTTGAGTAGTAGGATGTTGAAATAACGACATTGGTTCGCGCCATGTAATGTAACTTTAAATGACTAAAATGGAGTTAGACCCATTTTAAATTTTCGTTGACTTAAGGGGTACAACCGTAAAAGCTCAATCCACTATGGACTTTAGAGTCAATGAAGCCCAATATGATAATTGCGCAACCCAAACCAAAAAACAAGTACTAGTATACAAGTTCGATCTTTAAAACCCTTTCATCGCCATAAGAAAAAGCAAGTAGTAGCCGTCATTTGAGAGTGGGAAATAACTGCAATGTATAACCACCATCTAAAATTTCTATTATGGACATTAAACCAAACAATCAACATCATACTTTATATTTTCTTTAGGTTTTATAGTTCTAATTAAGTTCTTTAGCATTCTACGTTTAGTTTAGCAATAGCGATTAAATAATAAGAATGAAAATGAGCATTAAATTAATAAAAAGGGACTTTGTCCTACTCGAGATAATTTAAAAAGGGGTTGTAGTCTTATACTTATTCTTAATAAACCTGAATTTATTATGGACCAAGTTTCTCACGTGCCTACCAAGCTTCTTACAAGGAACACAGCCGCCCTCTTCCAGTCTTCCTCCTCTTACTCATTCTCTCTCCTCATTTCCGTCCAAACAAAAAGGGCACTCACCCAAGTAAGAGAGAGAAACTCATCAATATTTCCCCAAATCACAATTTCCAGATCAATTGATCGATATATTCATCTTCTTCAACATCAGGGCGTGACCTAAGATCCAGAACACAATTCAATCAATCATGTGGAGAAGGCTTGTTTTCTCTAATCTCAAAATTCTTTCTTCTTCTTCCTCTTCCGCCATTGTTAGACCTTCATTTTCTTCTCTCGCTCATCGTCTTCTTGCTGCTTCCTCCGTTGTTCGCTCTTCGTCTTTTCTTCTCTCTCGCCGCCATTTCTCCGTCGATGCCGGTAATTCTCCCCCATTTTCTAGTGTTTTGATTTAGATCTGTTGTTGTTGTTTTTTTGAATTTTTTTATTTGATTGGATTGTTTTTGGGTTGTGTTGAAGTTTCAAAGGCTCAGAGTAAGGTTGAAGATGCAATGCCCATTGTTACTGGTCATGAGCGTGAAGAGCTTGAAGCTGAGACGAATGTTATTTTAAACTTATCTTTATAAAGGTCTTTATGTGATAATAAAGGTAATTATGTTAATATTAGAGGTTAAATATATGTTGAAAAGGTTTACGATGAAATGTCACTATATATCATAGGTCACTATATGTTAAAATAAAGTCACTATATTATTTATAAGGTCTTTGTTTGGTTAAAAGAGGTCACTTCGTTTTCAATATTGTATATTGTCAAAATTAAGGACTATATTAAATTAATGGTAATTATTGAAACTACTGCTTGGGTGCTGATTGATTTCGATGGTTGGCTGCGATGGTGTTAATTTGGAGGTTGTTGGCCGCGGTGGTGTGAGTTTAGAGGTGGTTGGCTGCAGTGATGTGAGTCGTTCGAGTTAGTGTGAGTTTGGAGGTGGTTGGTGGGTTCGTTGGGTTGGTGGTTGGCTGCGGTGGTGTGAGTTTGGAGGTGGTTCGATGGGTTGGTGGTTGGCTGCTACGAATTGCAATGGTATGAGTTTGGGGGTGGTGAAGAGTGAGGGAGTGCGTGAGTTGTTGCAGGCTTGGCACATGTAGGCTTTTGGTTCACATTAATAATTAATGTGGACCAGCTCCACACAAGATTTTTTGGTAATCTTAAATAAACATGTATTACATATAAAATAAACATGTAATAATAACAAAGTTGTATAAAATTGAATTTTCAGTTCATTATTATAATTGTATAATTGTATGATAATTATGTTCATTATTAATATACTAAATGTTTATTTATTTATTTTGATATGTTTATTTTTTAGGAAAAATAAACTTTAATAATCCCAATATTGCCCAATTTACTTTAAATAATCTCTATTTTTGATTGTTCTGTAATAATCCCAACTTTCACCTACGTGATCTTTCTTCAATCCCAATACCGAAATCTTGGCGAAAAGGTTGAATTTTTTTTTTTTAAAATTGCCACGTGTCACTTGTTTATTGGGTCAAAAAAATATAATAAAATTTTAAAATAAAAAGATAAAAAAAAAATAGCATTTCCAAAGCCTACCATGACCACTGCTGGTGGCCACGGCCTCCCTGACCCAGTTTTTCGGCGCCCACCACCAATTTTCGACCCTTTCCTTCCCCCCACCCCGGAAACCTACCCTCATCCCAACCTAGCCTTGAAACCGTATTCATTGGGACCGAGTTCGAAGGTGAAGGAAGGGAGCGATGGGGTCAGTCTCTAGGGTGGGGGAAGGGAGGAGGGGTCTATTTTAGTGGTGTGGGAAGGAAGGGGGCACCGATTTCGGCTGTTTGGGAAGGGATGAGGTCCATTTAGGGGGTTGGGATGGGAAGGGAATGATTTTGTGGCGATTTCTAGTGTTATGGGTGGTTTGGTGGCGATTTTTGGTGCTACGGGTGGTTTGGGGGTGATTTTTGGTGTTATGGGTGGTTTGGTGGCTGAAATCGGTGGCGGGGGGCTGGGAGGGGGTGGTTCGAAGAAGGACCACCGTTTAGGTAGCAGGTGGTTTGGATATTTTAATTTTTTTTTTTATTATTTATTTATTTTTTGGACCAATCACGTGTTGACACGTGTTAGGTAACCTAGAGTTAAGGTTGTTGACTTGTTTGGGATTGTTAGAAGAAAACGCACATCAAAGTTGGGATTGGGATTATTTAAAGTAAATTGGACAAGGTTTGAATTATTAAAGTGTATTTTTCCTAACTTTTATTATTTATTGCTCATTTTTTAACGCGTTCAATTTTTATTACTAAATATTCAATTTTTTTTTTTTACGTATTCATATATTTTTTTTTTTTTTACTAAATGTTCATTCTAGCTACAAGGGTGCATCATAAGTTATTTGTCATGTACTTGGGAGACTTTGAGCAATATGATGGGAAATTTTGATGATTTTGCAAATAAGGGGTGGTAAAATTAAAATAAATTTTAAAAATGGTATAACCTACAACGAACTATTTGTTAATTTTATTTTATTTTTTCTTCTTTTTTTTTTTTTTTTTTTTTTTTTGTTTATAAACATTAATTACTTTAATTGACATGTAAAATACTTCACCAATAACAGGAGTGATGAACTTGAAAATAATTAAATGCATGACATGACATCAATAAGACAATAACATTTAAAAAATAGTATAGTACCTACAAGTATTATTTATACTTCTTCAGTTACACAATTAGAGGCGGAGCTACAAATGCTAACACTGAAAATGGCTCGGTGCAATTTTGTTAAATTGGGCCCTAAAATCATTTCTTTAAGGAAAAATATTTTACTAAATTATAAATTTTGTGATAAAATTGAAAAATGAATTATTGATTAAAAAGTTATCTCTTTACTTTGTATAAGTAAATTTTAAATATTGGGGCCCTTTATAGTAATTTTACTTAGGGTCCTGTGCGATCGACCACCCTGCACATACTCAGAACCATCAATGTACACAATTTATATTATGTGTACCTTCTCGGTGTTTTTATGTGGCTGTCATTATTTTATGTATCAGCAGTGTATGTGATGGTGTTTGTGTAATACGATAGTCTCTGATAATGATTTGAAATATCGAGCGATACATGAACTTCAATCAACTTCAATTTTAAGCTTTTATGAATATTGAACATTATCTGTACAAGTAAAATCAATGAAATGAAACGATGTAACTGTATTACAATATGCTAAGTTAGACCTAGCAGCAAATATGCCACATTCATCTGTAACATTGTATTCTGTAACAAGAAGCTAATTTCTGCTTAGGATTATACACGTAGTATATGCCAAACAATTTCAGGTTATGAACTCGTAATATCACCCATAGCTTGGGAAGGAAACAAAATCTAAAACACTTTGTAGAGCAGCGCAATACTCTGATTCAGTGGCGTTGAAACCGATATATGTCCTGCTTTGCTGATAAATGCCAAGTCTCCTAGCTCCCCGAGATTAATTGAATCGCAGCATGATCTCTTCGGTGTATGAAGGCATTAAAGGTGGTAATATCATCGGCACATTTCATCGAATTGGGAATCCTACGATCGATCTTTTTCCAAAGGAGATTTAATTTGCCAAAATAGACTTCGATTGTGTCTTGGTCTTGCTTGAGAGATGCGGCTCTTGAACTTAGATCAAAGATTTGAAGTTTGTCCCGGCCGCTGCTTAAAAGGGTTTCAATCCCTTTTCATAGCTCTCGAGCAGTAGTGTAATCTAAAAATTTGATTAACCAAATTAGGATCGATTTTTGCTATGATCCAAGAGATGACCATTGAGTCACGTTGTGCCTATTGTGTATATGTGGGGTCTGTGGTGGCAGGAGGAGCGGCAGTGATGTGGTTGAGCCGCCCTCGACCACCGATTGCGATTTGCATCAATTTACACCACGTGGTGTAATTATGGTAAGTGAGTTTCTTGGTTGTTTTAACCTCGGGAGCCAAGGGTTCGATATGGTTTATTTGGTGAATTTATTGGAACATGTGTTCCATTTAGGCCATTGATATCAGTGGCTAGTTAGTTGTTTGTTGGTTTATGTTTTGATCAGTTCCGGGTTCTACCATGATCGGTAAGTATGGTGGTAAATGATGAAAGCCAAATAAAAGATGTTACCGGTTCCGGAAATCACCGTATGGCTCTGATACCATGAAGAGAATAAAAGCTGAGTTTGTGATTAAATGAATACAGTTTTCGTATTAATTTTCTCATTAAAAAGTACACATATATACATGAGGCATAACAAACTCTAAGCTATTATTTAGGAGAGAACGATGATAACCAACTCAAGTTGTTACACTGCTTTGACATTTTCTCCTTTGGCACTTTCTATTCTACATCCTCTCCATTACCTAGCAAATAGTAATTACCATCCTCATTTGATTATATTTCGTTAGGGGCCATGCTCAAAATGATCTTCCTAACTTAAATCTTTCCTATACCAAGTTTTTGTTTTTTTCTTTTTCTTTTTTTTGAAAGTTACCCTCATTTATATTTCATCAATCAGTTATAATCCTTTCGTTCTTCATCCTCTATCTCGAAGGACAAGAGGTGAGAATCGATCCTAGGATCTCCTACAATCGGGAAGGAAGCTTTAACCACTTGAGCTATCTCTCACTCTCATCAATTTTAATATAAATATACATAATTATAACTGATTCGCAAGAATGAACAACACATCTTTCAGAAAAAGTGACCAACAGTAAGGTATTCATAATTACATTAGTGAGGCAGCAGAAGCTAAAAGGTGAAGTCCAGGTGAATCATTGGCGTCAAAAATGATACATTCAGCTCTGCTGATGAAAACCAAATCTCCTAGCTCTCGGAGGTTGAATCGCAGCATGATCTGGTCGGATGGGTCAGTAACAAGGCACAGAAGAAGCCCTGCTGCTATGAACGATGCCTTCTTTAAAGACTCACGATGATGCAATCGTAACCAAGCCTGATGCACCATATTTGGTGGCATTCCCCTAATTCCATTGACCTGCAATCAAAAGCCCCCCAACAAATTAGTGCTGAAATTCTTTTCTTGGCTTCTGCAGACATAATCGGAATCCAACTTTTAGCTGTTTGAGTGTACCTTTTCATACATCATCCGCCAATCTCTTTTTCCTACTGAGACGGTCAAAACCTTGTCCGATATTTCCAGTGAACCTAGTACATGTGTTAAGAAAGAAAGAAACAAACAAGTTAAGAGTTCCGGCCAGTACTTAACTACTGAAGTAGTGATTGATGACAAAAGAAAGAAAATGAGAAGCTAGCTCGAACCTATTCTAGGTTTTTCGAGTTCCTGATATGCTTGAATTATCTCCCTGAAGTGATCACTTAGTATGACAGCCTCACAGGCGAAAGTAATGTTGGGAAATTTCTCGAAGCTACCATCCATTTCGAGTAAATCCACAGCAAACAGTCTAGGAGAAGCATTCCCTGAAATAAATCGTCAAAAGTTTGACATACATATCTGAACTTGGAAAAACTAACATTTGATTAGGAATGAAGAGCATGAACAAATGAACAAAGGATTAGTGGTTTTTTATGGACAATCTGCTACTAACCAAACTCCGTTGAGCCAATGAACTATCAATATTCGCTTACAATAAATTTCACAGCATAATTCTGTTTTAGTATATTCTTCATATTTCAATCAAATGTTTGACATAGGCAACCTTGTAAAAATTTGAGTCCGTCACAAACTTCAATCGAATTTTTAAGGAAGATTTGTAGGGAAAACACCTTTTATAATACACATTTTGCAAATAGATGCCTTATACGAACTATTTTTATTTTTATTTTTTTTTGTTTTGGGTTTGCATTACCATATAAAATGGATTTCATCAACATTTTTTTTTAGGGCCACGTCCAACGATTTCAAGCTTGTTACACGGTTACACCCGATCTAACACCTTTCCTAAAAAAATAAAAATAAATCTACACCAATTAAAATTTAAAACTTAGTTTAAGAACCCTAATTTTTAATGTTTGTTAATTTATCCCTAAAATAAACCCTAATTAGAATTAGAAGAGTAATTGCAAAATTAATTAGGGAAAATTTTCATACAAAACAGGTGAAATTTTTAAAATTGAAACCAATCCAATTTTGTTAATTTACCCCCAAATTGAAAACCCTAATATCAAGCTTCATTAATTATCCCCAAATTAAAACCCTAATTTCACATTGTAGAGTAACTGAATTTTTGCAGTAAATTAAATGTAATTAGGTTTAAACTAGGCATATTAAAACTGCAAATAATTTATATTCTTCATTAAAACTAAAGAATCGTTTTTTGCTTTTTTTTCAAAAGGAAAACTAAAAGATCGTTGATAAACATTCAGTTTTTGATACAGAGTATAGAAATTCAATAATGTAATTTTTACTGTATAATCTATTTTCACCACCATTTAAAACCCTTTTTTTCTCCTAATAATCAGACTTCAAATCAATGACCAAAAACATTAATTTCATACAATACCCACCAATAAACTTGCATTAAAATCTTACAGAAATATAAAAAAAACAGGACATCTCAATTAACAATAAATACATACCAAACATGAAATTGAGATGAGAAAAGCCATGAAGATAAAGAAGGGTGACAGTATCATTAGCAGAAGCATCAACAAGATTATCGAGAATACAATTCAAGTCAATCATCTTGTTGATCATAGCCTTTTTGAACTCAAAGTTGATCAAACCAGAGGACTTGAACCAAAGATGTCCTGCAACCCCGGTTTTCGTGTTTCGAACCGTGATCTCCAAACCATTCTCCACAACTTCAATCAATCCCAAACCGTTTGGATTAAAATTGGCGTCACTTAGAGATTGTAATGCTTGCTTCAGTTTATTTGCTGGCCGAACCCCGAAGCGAAAACTCGTAATTATTGGTGTTGGATCATGTATTGCAGGTTCTTGAATTGGGGTTGTGGGTTCTTTAGATGATTGAATTGGGTTTTCGACGTTGACGGTTTCAAGATCATTGAGAGATTTAATGGTGGTGGAGAGGGAAAGGTTTTCGATTGAGGTTTGGTTTTTATCTAAAGTTACGGTCATGGCGGGAAGAGTGTAGAGAGAGGAAAGAGATCAACAGAATTTCAAAGCTTTCTGCTTTCTGTATTTACTGTCACTGTAGTTTAAGTTTTGGTTGTAGTTTTACAGAGGATTTTAGGCTTTTATAAGAAAGGTTCTTTAGCATAGAACAGCGGCAAATGAGTCGTAAAAGCCCCTATAATAATATTAGAATATTAGGGATACATTAGGGACACCCATCATAGTTGAGTCGTAAAATTGTGGTATTAATCTTCATTAAATAATACGGAGTATAAATTAATGTATTTTTAGAATAGTAATTGTTTCTATCAGAACATATAGCATGAGAATATGAGATGAATTTGTCAAAATCTGTTCAAAGCCTTAAAAAAAGAAGAAATTAAGACGAATGCTAAGATAAAATGAAAATAAGGACAGTTACGTTTAGTTTTGTTTTCACTTATTTAGAGAATAGTAAGTTTTGATAAATTTAGATAAAATATATTAGAAAAAAAATAAGGTTTGATATGAGGTTACTTAGGTCTATTTAAACTTAATTTACATCTATAATAAGATACTCCGTAAGTATTTGATGATATTTTTTATCTTTGACAAATCACACAAAGATATAGCTCATCATCATAAAATTGTATTCCATATCTATCTCCAAATATACTTGATCGTGAATTGTGTTTGTGACATGCATGATGATTTTATGTAGCGCTTATTAAGATAATCATGTATAACTCTCAATACTCTTCCTAAAAAAAAACTCCTTCAAATGTACTTATACAATCATACTCCTCTAATCTGTTAACTGCTACACTTTTAATTAACCATTAATTTCTCTAACCCATAATAAGGGAGTATTAATCATACTTTTATACATACTATATAATATAATACTTCCTTCAGCTTTAAATTGTAATTACAAGAGCTCACTTAATTCGTTTTGACTCGAAAAAAAAAAAAAAAAAAAAACTCAATTTACATTTTGACTTACATGAAGACAATAATTTAACATGATTTAGTTTTGAAATAAACCTAATCTGTCCCAACCTTAATACAAGAAGGAATCGGATAAATATACCAAATTAAAAAAATTTATTTAATTTTTTCTCACGTCATTCCTAAATCTCAACTCCAAACTCTCCTCTCCCACAAATTTCCAGTCTTCCACTCATAGTCTCACACTCTCACTCCCACCATGGCCGATCAACCCACCACCACCCAACCTCTCAAATTCATCACCGGCGCCGACCCCAACGGCTGCACCCTCAAAGACGCCCTCGTCTCCCACCTCCGATCCCTCAACTACCAAGTCGAAGACCTCGGCGTTGGCCCTTACTACTCAATCGGCGAGCAAATCGGCCGGAAAGTCGCCGCCGGCGGAGACACCACCCGCGGCCTCGTCGCTTGCGGCACCGGCGTCGGTGTCCAGATCTTCGCCAACAAAATCCCGGGAGTTTACGCCGCCGCTTGTCTGACAGCCGATGAAGCCAAGAACACCCGGTCCATCAACAACGCCAATGTCCTCGCTGTATCCGGCATGTCAACTCCACCCGACACCGCCATCGAAATCGTTGACACCTTCATTAACACCCCTTTTAAGTCCCCCTGCCCTGCTTCCGGCAACAAGGAATGGGACCCTGAAGTGGAGGACTTCCTGAATAAATCTGTTCCAGAGATGGCGAAGATTGGAAAGTCGGAACCCGAATCAGAAGGGGAGTGTCCCATTTGCTGCCTGGCGAAGAACAGGGAGTTTGTGCCAGTGGAGATAATGCCTGGTGGGATGATGAAGATAGTGAGGGAAAGTCCGACGGCCGCGATCATTCGGTTCGAGGCCGGGAGTGTGGAGCCTGCTCATCATCATAGCTTTGGGCATGACTTGTTTGTGATAAAAGGGAAGAAAACTGTGTGGAATTTGAGTAAGAAGGAGAAGTATGATCTGAGTGATGGAGATTATTTGTATACACCAGCTGGGGATATTCATAGGGTCAAGTATTTGGAAGATACTGAGTTTTTTCTCAAGTGGGATGGTCCTTGGGATATTGTTTTGGATGAGGATCTTGAATCTGCTAAGGCTGCTATTGCTAAGGAGGATTCCTGATGTCGTAAATACTGTACTTTTTCGGCCTGTGAGTTTGTGACATTGCATTTTCATTTGCCGTGGAGTTGCTGATGTTGTGGTTCTGATTCTGTATTATCTTCAACTTTGTTGAATAAGAATACCTGCTTGTTATATTATTGTTATGTGTTACATTCTCCATGTTTTATGTGTCATAATGTTGTGCTTGGGAAAGTATCTTATGATCTCCGGGATGGGAGTATCAATGCTCTACACAATCTACTCCGATGATTTAAAAATTAACAAGTACTAGTAGATTTGCTTGAAGAATATGCAGATTATATTACACATTTTGACCATACATGTTCATCGTATAAATAAATATACATTTAAGTGAGGGACTACCGCCAGAATATTACAATGCATGAAGGTGGTAAAAAGTTAGGGAGCTAAGAATTATGTGCAATAATCATACGAGACTTAACTGAGAGGGGGAAGTTATAGTAAATTCTAGAGATTCTATGGCAGGGAGTTTCTCCCTTAATGCAAAAAGATCTTCTCCAGCGTCACATATGTAAGCAGCTGCCTGCCTGCCTGACAGAGTTGCGCCCTCCATACTATCTATGTAATCCTGTCAAAAGGGCCAGTTTTGAAGTTAAGTATTCTATCGTTTCAGGAATTTTTTAAACAGGTAATTCATTGTAGGATTTTTTGAAACAGGTAATTCCAAAGTAAAGTTTATATCCTATCAAAATTGTTGCAACAAGTAGAAAACAGTACTCTATTAGGCATAAAATCAGAAAATCAACATCAATTACCTGCTTTGTGTATGACCCGGCAAGGAAGAAGTTGTTAACAGGAGTCTTTTGATCAGGTCTAAAGGGATCTTTTCCAGGACCCTCGCGGTATAAAGACTGCCCAATTTTGACAACAGATGACCAAGTGACATCCAAGCCTCGGGAAGATGGAAATAATTTCAAAACCTGGCATGGCAAGCAAACAGAATACTCTTAGATCATGTGTTGCCATGCATAACAAATATCAATCACTATGTAAGCAAAAAGGTCAAGTTAGCAGCTTAATATTTACACTGATAGCCTCTAAAGAGTAATAACAGGCTTGTAGCTAAATAAAACAAACTTTTAAATAAACTGGGTGTACAATAAATATTGTAAATAAGTTGTGAAGTTACCCTAAAATGATTAAAAGTTACCCAGATGTAAATATAAGTTACCTATTTTTTTTTACGATAAAGTTATCTTTAAAAGATTTAAAATCACATCCGTGATCATATTATCCTTGTAAAACTTATCTTATAACTTATTTAGATTAAAATAATATCAGGTATAAAGTTACCCTCAAAGCAGGTTAATGGTTACCCAAAATTGTTTAGAAGTTTCCCTAAAACTTTTCAATGTACATTAATATTATTGTGCATCCGGTGTACACAAAGGTTACCCACATCATAAGAACTTGCAAATGACAACCATCATGCAACTGATAGTACACTGAATTTAGTTTCCCACAGCAGTCGTGATAAAGCTTATGACAAGGCAGAGATAACAGTATATGCTGGAGTTTACTCACCTGCTCTGAAACTCTTTTTATAATTTCTTCATTTAGTAATGGCATGTAAGGATCTCCTGGTGTAAGAACACACCTGCCCCCAAAACATAATTTGTGAGTATAAAGGTGCAGATCAGTTTGTATTTCCACAACTATAGATACTGTATAGCATTATTTTAAAAGAGAAGTTTCCTTACTGGAGGAGTGACCCTTGCCCTGCAATATAGTAATCTTCTGGTGAAGTCAGAGCCAGGTCTGCAAAACAAGAAAAATCTGCATCCGGTGTGTACAGGAGATTGTCCAGTCCTGTTGCTTGCTTCAGTTGCCTGAAATGTCCATTATAGAAATTTTGATGATGAAATGAATCACCAACGTATCACACAGTCACTTTATATTAAACAAGTTCAGAGTCTGAATCTGATGCTTATTTTTCTATTATATATAAGGGAAGATTCTAGCGTGAGAGTTTCATTCCACAAGACAAAATACATTACTTCATTTCAAAATAATAGCCGCCCATAATTCTAACATTATCAAAAAGGTCCCTTGTGTCTTACCGTACATATCCATTTCATACAAAAACCACTCATATGTAATATGTGTCGCAAACTTGCAAATCACATGTGATTGTTGTTGAGGTGAGGGAAAGTACTTGTTCAGTCCAGAAAAGTTCAATTATGACTTTATGAGATTCTGTATTATTTATATTCTAAATCATCAGAGCCTAGTTAGACCATCACCTAGATTGTTGTAGATCCTGCAATTCTGTGACCCATCCATTGTATCTAAGTTGCACAGTGACAACAGGCACTCCAACAAGCTCATAGATATTGTTGAATAATTCCATATCTCTCCACTCCGCTGGCAACAATTTTTTTATTCCAGGAACGTCACAAGCTGCCATGCAAATACAATATTTGCATCAACATTTAAGTCAACGTAAAGCAAAATGCACATTGAAAGGGTGCAAGTTTTTTATATTCCAGGAACGTCACAAGTTGCCATGCAAATACAGGATTTGCATCAAATGTTAAGTCAAAGTAAAGCAAAATGCACATTTGAAAGGGTGCAAGGGATTACCTGCAACATAAGCGTCAGCCCTCACAGTTTTCTTATTTGTGGCCTGAGATTGATGAACATGACAATTACACCTAATATTAAGCAAAGGTGCAAGCAACTCTTCAAAAAGAAACAGTAATGAATTACTAGAAACAAGAATCGCTTGATTTTAAGAAGCATAATATATTTTGATGTTCCCCAACAGGCCAACAGCTAACAACAACGTATGATGCAATATACAGTGAGACCCACTATCCCATCCACACCTTTCCCTTTCTCTCTCCATCCTAATACCTCCCTCTCCCCCTCCCCATTCTCCAGGCCACAATTGAGATCTTAATAATGACAAATCTTGGTTCTAGCTAGCCTCATGTACATAGCAGATGATTGGTATATGGTGGTCAAGTAGCCAAAAATTATATGATCATGACAGTATGACACATGTACCAAAACTTGCAGAGAGGACAGCATCATATGCATAATCCAGGGCACGAGGCCGCGACTAATTGGATGCAGGAAAGCAGAGTCGCAGACCCAACCTAAAATGAGAATCAAAACCTGATGACTTAATTATCTTATTATTATACGGGGAAACTAACCTTGGAGATGGCCATTCCTGTTACATATGTCTCTCCATTTGGGAATCGGTCATAAAGAATTTTTCTGCATCCCCACCTTAAATGAAACCTGTCATGGTGGCGATAGTAATTCAAATATGTAATTGTTAGCAAATTCATCAAAGGACCAGAAATTCAACCAATGAAATGAAACTTTATAGATAAACACCTTCCTCCTTTCTCTTCGATATACTTTCTGATCGGTCTGCTCAGGTAAACATCAGGGGAACCCTTGAGCATGCGTAGCAATGAAGCCTCTGTCTTTGTGGCAAACAATGAGAATATAGTGAGCATACAACGCGCACTGATATTATCACAATCAATAAACCCAAGAGCATAGGCAACAGGATCCCACATTCTTTGAATGCTTGCACGTGTTCCACCTTTTGATAAAAACCAATCTGAGAAGCTTATCTGCATATTGGAACATTGATTATAGATGTTTAGATACAGCTACAAGAACTTGCAGTTGAGCACGGAACAATAGCCAAAAGAATTTGCAGTTGACCGAGGGAGGGACAACAGCAAAAAAGAGGAGAAAGCTAGAATAGACCACATCCGAATAATCTGGTATGAAAAGCTGATCAGGGTCTGTGATGAAAAAAATGTGTAGCAGAAGATAATACTACATGCTTACAGAATCCAAATTCCGTATATCCTGCATAGCTCCATCTGGATCAACAAGGGCACGTACAACTGGACTCAGTGCAAGAGCCAATGCATTTCTGGCTTTGTCATAAGGCTGTAAATAATTCAAGTGCATGATTAAGTCATACTCAAAACTTAGAAAGGAATACACTCAGGGCGAATCGAAATATTGACCCCATCCAATAATGTTTACCATTAACAGAATAAGGATCTTGTAGAAAGTGAAATAGGATTAGAATTATAATTATTGCAGTAGTTACCTGAAGTTGATTTGTTGCCAAAAATGCCCGAATTCCATGTATTGGAGCTCCAACAGGAAACCGGAAGTCAAGCTCTGTCAAATTAATCAAGTCAAATATCAATTCTTATAGTTGTTTGCATCTTGTTACATCATTCTACTATCATCTGAACCATAGGATAAATCGTGGTTGCAATCCAACAATAGTTGCAATATGTTACGGAAGCAGCATCTCAGGGGGTATTATGTCACATTTCATTGGCATCACTACGAGAATAGATAAATTGGAAGAATTTCCACATTGTCATTGTAATATTGAGTAAAACTTAGAACATATACGAAGTACACTTGTAGATCTAAATACCATATATAAATAAAGGTTTGGCTTTTTACAAGTACTCACCATGTAACCCCAATTGACATTTGTAGTATGGTCTCCCTTTATATTCTTCAAAAAGTTAGTGGTTAGTAAAACAGTGAGTCTTAAACTTGAGACGTCTCACCTAAGATTTAATTATTTTATCACTAAGAAAGTTGAGAGTTAGTTATCACAAAGAATGTTACAGTATCATTTTAAAGCATGTAATTGCACGAATTTTTTATTATCTGCATGTTGAAAAAGCTATAAATAAAGGCCTCTACGTAAAGGAACGGTCTTGATTTAATTTCATTAAACCTGAGCAAACAAATCCTATGATATACATATTGAATATGAACGGATAGGGAACAAAGTATAAAGAACACATACCTCCAATTTCACCTCCTTTGTTCACAAAGGTATGAGTATGATCCTTGACCAGTAGATTATTTTCAGCGCCTACCTAGTAGAAAGAGAAAGTAAAAAAAAAAAAAATGTCAATGCTAGCAAAAGCAGCAAGGTTACAGATACCTATTAGATTGGTTTCTTAGTTTTAAAGGGTGCGAGAAGGCAAAGGTCTGCCATTTGTAGGTGAGGCACACTTTATTTATATAATAAAAATAAATAATTTTTATTAAATAAGTCTATAAAATGATTCTATGAAAAAGGTGAAAGGGCCATGTGATCAATTGCTAGGGTTCTTCAAATATAATTGGGGGATATGGGGTTTCTCTATCTAGTATTAAAGTAAATCTGACTGATGCAAAGTCAGGTGGTGTTTTTTTTAGAAAAAATGGTCTTACACATCGGCCATTGACACCTTAAAACATAAGGCGCAAGAAGCAGCCGAGAACAAAGCACAGGGGCGGCCCTTTGTAGGTCTTTGTGCCGTGCGGAGCTAAGGTGCTAGCTCTTGCGACTGACTGAGCACCTTTAAAACTAAGATTGATTTTCGATTTCTCTTGGGGTTTTCGTCTCAGACAAGATAAAAATCAATTTCATAACATAACAATAACTAAATGAACCCCAACAAAGACCAAATTGTAGAAAGTCATTAACACAAATAGATTTTCGTCCTGAAGGAGAGCATTATCCACAAAATCAGAGAGCATCTCATGTTTATTCTCATATAAGAGGATATTATGATTTTGAAAGGAAGACATGTACAAACAACTGACCAGATATGTCAGCTCAGCAACAAGTACTCCTTAAAAAAAGAATAAAGAACAGACAAATGAAGTAAGAATATATTATAACATCAAAACTAGATGTTCACCTTTTTCAGCAATCTGAACAGATTGTTATAGCACCCAAAGAAGACATGCAGTCCCATTTCGATGTGGTTTCCCTTTTTGTCAACAAAAGAGCCCACCTTTCCACCTATAAAAGGCCTTGATTCATATATATCCACCTATAAAGAACAAATGTACTTTAAATAAAATAGAAATATTGAAGAGTACACAAAATTTCACTCCCTTTAGAACCATGTGATGACAACTGATAAGAACCCTCATATAAAAGGCGCTGCTCAAGTTAGACATTGTTTCCTACAAATAGCCCAATATTTTCCTCATAAAATAGAAGGATATGCAGATGAGAGGTACGAATAGAGATATGAGAAGATGAGCTTAAGCTCCCAATTATTAAATGATCTTAGGCTCCCAATTATTAAATGATCTTAGGCTCCCAATTATATAAAGGGCAATGTTAAATGATGCATTAAGCACCATATTCATTTAGGAGGAGGATCTTCAAACTTTTTGTCCCCCAGACCTGGTTGGGAACTCTAGCATACAAGAAAATAGTTGGTGCTGAATACCTCATGCCCTTGATCCAAAAGCTCAACTGCAGTGGACATGCCAGCAAGTCCTGATCCAATAATTGCCACCTTTAGCTTTGGGCCCTTGTAACGTTCAGGTTCTGGGGGAAACAATCCCTTTGGAGCTGCCAATAAGATCATTCCAATGTAGTTTTTAGAAACAGCCAACTATCACTACCTCAAAAAAGTAAAAAACTTCCCAATTAGCTAATCAATTCTCAATTCCTAGTAAACACCGATGTTTCATTAGAGTGACATGGAGGAGTTAATAGTTAAAGTACGTATAAACAATAAGAATACTGGAAGGGAGTTAAAATGACACGCCTAAATTATAGACGTGGATTTAGCTTAGAATCTAAGTATCACTCCCAAAATTGCTCTATGTCTAAACTGCACCAATCATCTAAAGAATTCTACATCTTTGAAGCTCCATGACATTCAGATTCACATTAAAACTTGATCTTTAATGAAATTGAACCCACATCTTTCGATTCATTGCATTACTGAATTGAGAGCATTTATTGATCTCATTTATGTGCTCAAACTTATACATGTATAGATTATTCAGATGTTTCACACAAAACTCAGGAAAAACACATCAACTTTGATCCCAAGTACAATACACCTTACTCCTAGTTGAGTTTTTGAGACATTATATCTGGATGACCTAAATCTGTAAAGCATACGATATGCTTCATTGATTAAGACAGTCTCATGTATATTCCGGATCTCAATAACATAATTCCCAAATCGTGTGTCTATGTGTGCACGCGCATTACTAATTACTTGAGTAGTTGAATTTAACATCACTTGATCAACTTAGCAAAAGATTAACGTTTAAATTAAAATTTTATTTCTAGAAAACAACATAACCTGCTTCGACCATCTTTCAGCCTAAAATAATCTTCTTTTTTGTCTTTTTATTTTTTTTATGGGGAAGAACAATATCATTAACCAATAGCCTAAAATAATCTAGGAAGTAACAAAAATTCTGATACAAAGGATAACTTTCAGCAAGCACAATATACACTTTTTTTCCATTATTGTTTTTTTCCAAATGCATGCTACTTTCTCTGAATATATCAGCACCAAACATTATATTACAGAATTTCTATAACAAATCCAGGGAAATTCACTCAATCTACTTCAAAATTAAACGAAATGTGAAGCTATAATCAATGAATTGTAAATATATCAATCATGCAGAAGGTTTAACCAAATAAATCAAACAATTCGCACCAAATAAATACGCAATTACTCATTCCAATCATTTTAAAAATAAAAAAAAATAAAAAAATTTAAAGGCGCAAAAAATTGAGATGAAAGTATGAAAATCAAATCAGACCATTAGTACTCATATCGGAGATATCGGAGTCCAATGAGCAGCGAATGCGCCAACACCGGCGAAGATTGAGCTGAGGAACCGACTTCCGGTTGCGAATTCCGGCGGAAGTCGCCGGAAAACAGAGAGTAGACGCCATGAGAGAAGACAGAGGAGAGAGAAAGTAGTGTAAAATGGAGGTTTTTTTTTTTGTTAGGCGGAGAAATGAGCCATGGAAGAGAGTGTATTGGGGAGGAGAGAGAAAATTGGAGTTTGGGTGTAATGGGTTTGGTTATCTGTTGAGTGCGGAGGGGAAGTGGAAAGGAGGAATTACCGGAAATGGAAGTTTTGTCACGGCGTATCTAAAATCAATGTCATTAGCACCACCTATACAATGTTTTTTTTTATATGTGGTTGGTCACATCGTGTGGTTGGGGTTATTTATTTAGGAGGCCATCAGTCAGTTAGGGGTTATTTTTCAGGGGTTATTCAATCGGTCAGAGATTACTAATTCAAGAGTTATTCAATCGGTTATGGATTACTAATAGAGGTTACTCAATCAGTCAAGGTTACTTATAGGGATTACTTATTTGGTCACACCGTGTGGCCAGCCACATATAAAAAATTGTGACCTGTATAATTAATACGAGTAGTTTATTGTAGGCAATTTTTTTAAAAAGGTAGAGAGTGAGAAATTGGGAAAATATTAGGAAATCCTCTTTATGATGGGAATTTTTTAATGTATCTGAAGAAAGAATGGGAAGTAAATTAAAGTTATTACAAGGTATAATATTCCTAATTTCCTACTAACGCTAATTAATGACCTCCAACTTTAAAAGTTGATTTTCGGCAAGTTAATTGAGTATGTATTTTATGTAATACGGTATACTAAGACATGAGATAATGAAAATCACTCAAATAAACTCCATGAGATTTAATCCTTAAACGGCTAAACCACAAGAATCTAGGTAGAGAGTAATGTTACTATTTTACTCATCAACCGCATAGATGCAATACTAATTGTCAAATACTTGTAGGTTAGGCGAGGCATTTTAAAGGGAGGAAAGTTATGTACCTATTGGTACATAGTAGGGGCATAATGGTAACTTAGTACAATAAAAAGGTGATGGGACCACATATTATAACTTTAATTTTCAGGTTTTAATTGTACTACTATAGTCATTTTAATACCATTACAACTACTATTATATCATTACACTCCAATGGCATATTTCACAACCTAGTGGTACATATATTAGTTTCAAAAGTATATCATTGTAACAATCTTTAGTGTAATTTTAACTATTTACAGTACTATTGTAATAACAATGATACATTTCGCATCTCAGTGATACTAATGTTAATTTTTTAAATATTTATAAATTGTCATGTTATGTACCGATAAATACATAACATTCTTCCATTACTACTTCCTCTAGGTTAGGCACTTAGAAGAATAAAAAAAAATGGTAAAATTACTATCGTTGGGAGGGTTTAGCCTTATTACCTCAAGGTTACAAGGTAATTTCTCACTAAAGTAAGGCCTATTAATTAAAGTATCATTATTATAGAGATGTGTATTATTGTTTCCTCAAAAATTAATGGAGGATTACGTGGTGGGTATAAACACAACCAACGTATGGTGCATTGGTGCGACGGTGCGAGTGGTTATCCCACTAACAACAAGGCCAATAACTCACTAACTTTAAGCTGATAAACTGGACTGCTCTTGTAATCACACGTTTCATTTCTTTACCAATAATGCTGAGATCATTCTAAAACTTTTCCCAACTTTGTTTATTGTTTCTGATTTCTGACACGTTTGGGCCTGAGCCCATCTTATTCCTTCAACCCAAACCTTATATAGGCCCAATGTTTGTAGTCACTAAGGATTCTTTGGAGTTTGGGCTGGTCCAATAAAACTAGAACCGAGACCTTTTTTTTTAATGGTAGAGGATCCATAACCAACTATAAACGATAGGTTCAGGAAAATATAATTATTACTCAAATTCATTTTTCCTCAAAAAAAATAAAAAAAAAATAAATAAATATATATATATATATATATATATATATATATATATATATATATATATATATATATATATATATATATATATATATATATATTCATCGGATTTTTCTAGTTTAAAGTCAAATTTAGGTCAGAAACTTCTGATGTCTTAATCTTTGCATTTTATGATGTATACATGATTTGATTTCATGTTTTGAGTTATCACCACCAAGGCTCCAAACATTAACTAGGTCAATTGTTGACGTTCACTTTATCAAAATCTTTTTGATGTTGGATGCATTCCACAAAAGCATTTGTAGGTTGTTAATTGTTGTACAAGTTATGTACTTGAATTCTAAAGTTATCTAGAATGTACTTGTGTTAATACGTGAGATATATCAAAAGTACTTATGAAAGTTATTGGAAAGGGTTTAGACTTTAGAGGGTTATGGTGAAAACTGAAAAGCATGATCATTGACTTCTTTATTATTGTATTTATGTTCAATAAAACTAGTACATTTTAGATATCTTAAAAATTCAAGTAAATAACTAGTACATCAAACCATTAGATTAGAACAACTCCTTTTTATCCCCAAAAGCCACATTCACATATACCTCCAAAGTTACTTAATTTTTCCAAACACTACAACCATTAAAAGTTACTTTCACAAACAATACTACTTTTAAAAAAAAATTAAAAAAAAAATTAAAAAAATAAAAAATAAAAATTAAAAATTACCTTTTGAGTTGTTGTTTAACATAGTCATTGCATTGCAAAATTAAGCAAGAAGCATATTGCATATTGCATATTGCATATTTCCTTTCGTAATATCTGTTTCAATTTTGTTTACCACAAGGAAAATGTCGATGTCAAAGTTATACACCTTTATTTCTCAATGAATTATGATTTATACGTAAAACACAACCAAATTTAGGCCCTATTCACTTCACCTTACAAAAATAAATATAATTTCAGTTTAGTAAAATGAATTTCAGTTCAATAAAAATAAGTTCAGTTCAGCAAAAATAATTCCAATTCAGTAAAAATAATTTCAGTTCAGTAAAAATCAATAAACTTAAAGAAGAAATATAATAGAAAATCAGTTAAAATAATTTCAGTTCAGAAAAAATAATTTCAGTTCAGTAAAATTAATTTCAGTTCAGTAAAAGTAATTTTTAAGTTCAGCAAAAATAATTTCAGTTCAGTAAAAATAATTTCAGTTCAGTAAAAATAATTTCAGTTCAGCAAAAATAAGGTGAAGTGAACGGGGCCTTAGAAATCCTTAAACCCCATTACATAGCTTCCAAATATAAAATTCAAGAATATGGCTGAATTTAGGTCTGAAAACAATTAGACATTTATCTAGACTAGACACAATTCGTAAACATCAGATCTAAATTTGCTCTAGATGCTGGATACGTCCCAAAGCTCACTACGCTAGGAAAAAACTAGTACATCGATTCAAATATTTGGTACCCAAGCAAGACCATCCATTCAAAGTTTCAAACCAATTCATCTTAGAACATAATTCACTACAAAAATTGAACTGTGTCTTTAAATACTCCATCTTAATCAATTTCTATTTTCTTCTAAGAATCTCAGCAGCCAATCAAACGTGAGTCTGAAACTATTTTGTACACTCCACTTGCTAAATTAGCCAATAAATGTATAAACTACCTAAACAACAAGGAGTGTAATTTATGAGACCAAGGGACAAGATTTGAAGTTCATAATCTAGAAAAAGCGTGACAAATTCATCATCAATAATAGTAAATCGTCCTAACATACTTGGACACAAATTTTGGCATGGGCCTAAAAGAGAAGGAATATTGGACCGACCCTATAATTCTATGATCTTGACCTTAACCCTAAATGATAGCTTTATGCTTGTATGTTGGAAATTCTGATTATAAAGCTGAACAAGTTCTTGACTTTTTTAGGTCCAACTTTTTGTCATAAAAAGATGACTGCAAGTTTATGAAGTTATGAATTTATGATATACGGGTAAACAAAGTTAACTAAGCAAGCTTAGCGGAATTAATGGGAAATTTATCTAATGATTTGTGACTTTGAGGTCACAAGTTTGAGTCCTACCAATTACATTTGCTTGGAAGTATGAAAATTCCTTACCTCTCCCTTTATCCTCAAGTGTTGGCTTGTGTAGTTGGGCTGGCTTAACCTTAGTGCTAGTTCAGTAAGCTATTTCATCTTACCGAAAAAAATGTATATACTTCATACTGATACTCGTATATATATGTCAAAAGTTTAAATCCAAATTTCAAAACCCGAGACATTCAAAAACACATATGAAATATCCAATAACTTATATGAGTTGTATCCATCTCATCTTGAGTCCAAATTCACACATAATTTTCTCATTTATAATCTTATCCATTCTATTTGACACTATTTTTACTTTTTACACTTTCTTTTAGCTTATCTCCATTTGAATTACACTCATCCACCTTTCACCTCATCTCTTTTATTTATTGTTGAGTCCATGATCAAACCCACATGTGAATTCAAATGTTGGCCCACATTAAAAGAGGATAATAATGTTGGGATGTGTATCCTACATTGAAGAATCAAGAAAGTTGTATCCACTTTATAAGCTTAAGGGGCTACTCCCCTTATTGCCTTATAATTATGAGGTGGAACGAACCTCTTTGAACTTATAAAATGGACATTCATGACGGTGTGGCGCAGGTATGTTTAACATTTATTTTCTTTTTTTATACACCCACTCACAATTCAATTGATTTCCATGCATCTCTAGAAACAAGAGTTCATAGTCTGTGAGTTGAACTTTCTAAAACGGAAGAAATTTTTTTCATTTAATTTAATTTAAATTTTATTTTTTTTCAAAAAAGGAGAATATCTAAGAAATTATAGACAATCATGAAAGCTAAAACCTAATAACTAACAGGACAAAAAGTTCACTAATTAAAGCTGGAAAAATTATAAAATTTCCACTATGTCATCATGGTCGTATTGTCCATCTTTCATCATGTTTCTTTGCCGCGTGAATCCCTTGATAATTATGCTCCAATGTTGCAATTTGCTCTTTTTAGAGTTTAATCACCAAATCTTGTAAATTTTGATCAATATCTAAAGTCACTTTATAAGTATATGAGTTATCCATTAAATGCTAATTTTTGGATTGGTTTCCATAACAAATATCGATAATTTAAGATAGTGGATGTTGATATTTAAAACCTAGTTGACTGGTTTGTATACTTCGTTTTGTTTTTATTTTACACCATATTTATTTTGTGTACATATAGAAAAACATAATTATGTTTTTCAAAAAAAAAAAAAGAAAAAGAAAAACTTAATTATGTTATTAATTGTTTAATTTGACTAGCTAGTTAGTAGTTACTCGCTATATTCATATTTCTTCGTAATTGTATTAACTTTTTATACAGAAATGTTGTGCTATTTAGCTTGATTAGCCAATATTATAAGTAACTCTATGAAAAATTGAAAAGAGAATCCTAAAAAAAATCGGTTAAATAGTAAGGGTTGAAGTTTCTCACGAACTAGTTGGAAATTACATGCGAATTATCTTATATAGTTA